AATAGAAGTTGAGGGGCTAATGTGTACAGAATAGAAGTTATAACTTAAGGCGGTTAACTAGTTACATGTATAAATAGGTAGATATATTCGATACTCTGTATAAGAGATTCATTTTTACTCTTTGTACATGTTCTTCTCTCTGATAATAAAGAATAGAAGTTGAGGGGCTAATGTGTACAGAATAGAAGTTATAACTTAAGGCGGTTAACTAGTTACATGTGTAAATAGGTAGATATATTCGATACTCTGTATAAGAGATTCATTTTTACTCTTTGTACATGTTCTTCTCTCTGATAATAAAGAATAGAAGTTGAGGGGCTAATGTGTACAGAATAGAAGTTATAACTTAAGGCGGTTAACTAGTTACATGTGTAAATAGGTAGATATATTCGATACTCTGTATAAGAGATTCATTTTTACTCTTTGTACATGTTCTTCTCTCTGATAATGAAGAACAACACGCTTGCGCTGAATCATTTTCCTCTCATGTGATTCTTCTAGAATTAGCAATTCATGCTTGTGCATTTGCTCAATATTTAGAATGACCAATCGAGGGTTCCCTTTAATGTAATTACTTACTTCTCTTGTTCAATTTATGTCTCTTGTTTTTCTTTTTCTTTTGTTCCAAAAATAATATCACTTTTCTACATGATTTAGTATGTTTTTGTTTCAACATTCCCTTTTTCTAACTTATATAATTTAAGAACACAAAATTCAAGGTGTATTTTTGATATATTGTGCACACTTTTTGTTTAAGAACACAAAATTTACCCATTTTTGGACAGATAAAGATATGTTGGAATACTAACAACATTTTCTAACGGGATTTTTATACAAATAGCCGGCCAAATTTAATGTTTACTTTTTTTGTCGGTATACATAGATTATACACTAACTATACATAATTATATACATATTATATATTGATTATACATATATTATATATCCGTGGACTATTTTTAATTTAAAACCGTTGGTTGGACAACTATTTGTGTTAATTTTTCTTTTCCGCCGGGGAATGTCATGAATAGCAAATATGTTACTGATGGAAGCTATCATATTCCATATGAGGACTAGTTGCGCTAATTTGTGGGAAAATTATAGCGCTATTTTTCCAGAAGACAATCCCTTAAAATTATAAAATTAAACAAATTATTTACTACTTCATAAATTTCCGGAGCTTTGACTCGCATAATCAGTTGAGGACGCTCAATTCTACTCTCATCTCTTTAAGTTTTTTTTTCTTTAAAAGGACAAAACTTCCCATACTGCGTGTGTAGAATAATAGAGTATTAGAGTTAATAACACTCAACATTCGTTGGTTCTTTTTCATATTTGAGAAGTGAAGAGTTCACTTGAGAATTTGTAGCCAACAACATAAATGTTCAATGTATCAACTTTTCACGTTTATGTCCAATAAAATAAGTTGTAGTATTAAAATAAAAGTAGAGAAGCTAGAGAGCAAGAAAATCGAAAAATCTAGAATCAAGAGACAAGAATGAAGGTAGATAATGACAAATTAATGTTGTATTTTTTCATGGTCAAATTTATCAAGCCTAGACAATGATACAAAACGTCTCTCCTTGAGCAAAACCATGTGAACAACACATGGACTCTCCCTATATTACAAGCATTTCTTCCCATGTCAACCCTTTTTCTTTAATGCGAAAAACTCCCATAACCTCCATGTGGGAATTCTCTATTTTATCAATGTATATACTTCCTCTGTTCATTTTTACTTGTTCATTGACTTTGCGCGTCCCTTAAAAAATAATAAATAAAGTATATTATTTTACTATGATACCCGTATTAATTGGTGTATTATCTTAATGAATTTGAAAAATAATTTAGAATGAGTAATTAATGTTAAGGGCAGAACAGGAAAAATAAATTATTTTTCAGAACAAGAAAAATAAATTATTTTTCTCTTGATATACGAAAAGTGACAAGTAAAAATAAAAATTTATTTTTAAAATACGTGATAATTAGAAGTGAACGGACGGATTATTAATTAACACATCCTCTGAATTTATTTCGATTTCTTACATAAAGCCGTTTTCTTCTTTGTGCTTTACATTACGACATGTCTATATTTAGCTCTGTTCAATCTTCATTTTCATGGAAGTGTCACTTGTCTAGCTATTTCCGCCATATCCTTTTCCATATATTAATCCAACCAATAAATTTTCAGTAAAACAACTGACTTGCATGGAACAACAGCTGGAAACGGCTGCTAAAATCAAAAGAAATCTACTCGAAAAAGTGTTCATATCTAATTAACTAATTCGTGAGATAATAGCTTACAAGATAATGGTCGTATGCGTAGAGAAAGAATGAAGTGGTTATGAAGAGATACAAGGATAGAATTTCTCACTAAACTTTTTCATTTTTCACGTACCTTGGACAATCTACACCTCAAAATGCATTAAAACAAAGATAAAATAGTGAAAAAAAAAGAAATAATTATGATGTATTTTCTAAATATGAATACATTTTTACTAAATTAGAGGGTTTACAACATTTAGGCCATTGATCATCATGTACACTAAATACGTTTCTGGGGCATATCAAGAATAAAATTAGATCTAATTTTTATACATTGTCGGCGTTTTTCTCTCCTCGAATCTGTAACTTCAAGAGAAAAAAAAAAAATGGTGGTTAAGGAACCTAACATTGCCAAAAGTCATTTAACTACGTATAGTTTTGTAGGGTTTCTAAGCTAGCTAGTTTGTTATACTACATAAGAAAAAAAACATTTTTAAACAAAGATATATGTTAAGATTCCTTATAGATTATGTATGTGTGGTGACACTTCAAATTTTACACATTGTTAAAAGATTTGGTATGTTGGTGGAAATAGAGAATTGATCCGTCCATCATCTGATGCTCAGCTCTTGTCACTGTCATTAATGGGCATTTAAACATTTTATAATTGTGTTTTTGGATTGTAATGAGATTTGATTCTTCAGTAGCAACACAATCCAATCATTTCTGGATTTGCATGCCGTCCCTCACGGCAAATAAACACATAATACTGTGTGTTTTATGATAATTATTTTTCTATAACATAACCGAGCAACAGTAATGTTACAAGAAATAAGGTGTAATGAACGGGAGTCTTGAAATAACGCTAAAGTTGTCTATGTGTGATCTATGTCACGGGTTCGAGCCATGTATGGAAGCATCCACTACTGCTTTCATTAGAGTAAATTGTCTACATCACATCGCTTGAGATGCTGTCTTTTCCCGTGTGTGAATACCGGATACTATGTACACTGGG